ACAAAAAAAAAAAAAAGATATTGTACACATTATATATATATATATATATATATATATATATATATATATATATATATATATCCCACAGTGTTAAAAGTGTTTGTGACTCACCTGACTCACCCAAGGATCCCATCTACATATGTGATACAAGGCAATGTCATCTCTGAGTACCAGAGCAACGCTGTCCTGCAGTGTCACAAGACGTCAGCCTCTTATATAGAATTTCCTTCATAGAGCTCTGACTGGTAGCTCACCTCATTGAAATCGCCCACTCTGGGGATGTGGTTCTTCCTAGTCTTCCCCATGACCAATCCTGAATTGGAGATCACCACAGCTGTGTTCCACAGTACTCCCCCATGATCTCTGTCCCGTTCCAGGATTGGAGACACCACCACCATGTTATGCTGCTTTGCCAGCTGGAGGATTGGAAACCACAAAGTTTAACTGGAGAAGAATTTAATAATGGTCCTAAATAATTAGGCTTAGTCTGCAGCTATATCTTAAAGTAACTGTTTCCTTAAAAACACTGAATACAAGTGCTGTCTTGATGCATACATCTAATTATATAAGAATATTCTTAGCTGGGCCCGGTGATGCACACTCAATCCCTGCACAGTCTTAATCACTCAGGAGGCAGATACAGGTGGATCCCTGAGTTAAAGACCAGCCTGGACAATATAGTGAGTTCCAGGTTAGCCAGGGCTACATAGTGAGACTCTGCCTCAAAAATAAGTATTACCTTTGTGTAGTGCTGGGGTGAAAATATAAAATAATACAGCCATTGTGGAAAATTAAACACAGAACTATACCATGATCCCACTTCTGCATATATAGCCAAAAGACTTGAAAGCAGGTACTCAGTGAGACAGTTCTTTGCAACCATGAGCTCATATTCAGGTTATTTATATAGCCATATTTATAGAAGTATTATTTGTAATAGCCAAGAGGTAGAAGCATCTCTGCTGTCCATCATCAGATGAACAGCTGAACAAAATGTGGTATAGGCAGACAATAAAATATTATTCATCCATGTAATGGAAGGAATTCCTGTCATGCTACAAAGACGGATGAACCTTGAGGTCATTATGCTAAATCATATAATCCAATTAAAAATATGAATCTGCTGGGCGTGGAGGCGCACGCCTTTAATCCCAGCTCTGGGGAGGCAGAGGCAGCCAGATCTATGTGAGTTCAAGACCAGCTTGGTCTACAGAGTGAGTTCCAAGCCAGCTGGTGCTACAGGGAGACCCTGTCTCAAAAAGACCCACCCCCCAAAATATATGATTCCACCTGTGTAAGATACCTAGAATAATCAAATTCACAGAAACAAAGTAGAATGCTGGTTGTCAGGGGACGGAGGTAGGGTGGCATGGGGAGCCAATCTTTAATGGACAACGTCTCAGATTTGCAAGATGCAGAAGTTCTGAAGGTGTACTGCACAATATGTGTACTGGACATATTTTACACAATTGAACTGTACATGTAAAAATATATAAGATGGTGGGCTGGAGAGATGGCTTAGCAGTTTAGAGCACTGACTGCTCTTGCAGAGGACCTGGGTTCAATTCCCAGCACCCACAGGGCAGCTAAGAACCATCCTTAACTCCAGTTCCAGGGGAATCTGAAGTGCTCTTCTGACCTCTGTGGCATTGCACGACATGGGTGCACTCACATACATGCAGGTAATACACTCATACACATGAAATAAGAATAAAATGTTTTTAAAAATACTAAAAAAATGTAAAATGGCAAGTTCTTTGTACAATAAAAAATGAATTGGACTCAGTGGGTTACAGAGAAAAAAGGAGAGGACATGAATGTGGAGGGTGATGTATTGGGGTATCTGGGGAAGTGGGAGGGAGGGTTGGGGTGGAATCAAGATACATTGTACACACATATAAAACTATCAAAGAAGATAAAATATGTTTTAAAAAATCAGTAATAATGAAGCCAGGTGTGGTAGCTCACATGTAACCCTAGCATTGGAAGGCTGAGGCAAGGGAATCATCATGAGTTTGAGACCAGAATGGACTACACAGTGAATTCCTGAGCTAGAGACCCTGTCTTAAAAGGAATTTTAATGAGTAATCATACTTCTCATCTATACCAAAATATCCCACCTCTTCAGAACTTAGCTATTTTCTGCTCTTGTAACAGAATAACAGAGATCATGTAACTCAGAGGGAACAAAGATTTATTTCTTGGCCCCAGGGAGTTGAACATCAAGAAGCCAGTATGTGGTGAGGGCCTTTGTGCTAAATCATCCAGTAGTAAAGGGAGGGCATAGAGGCAAGAAAGCACGGAGATGAACTTGAGTTTATAAAACACACAGATGCATATATGCACACCCCCATTCTTGAGATTCTGACATTAATCCCCTCATAAGAGCTTAATCCTTATGATCTCGCCACCTTTATAACAAAGCTTCTCAGAATACTTACATTAAAAATTGTTTCCAACTCATCAAGTTTGGAGAACACACTCAAGCACACAGCAGACACTAAATTCCTCTTGTTGTCAATAATAATGGGATCTGCTAAGTGAGCAGCCCCAGCTGGTCATTTGTCCTCAGTGCTAACTAGGCTATCATCACCTCTGGGCTTAATGTGTGCTCTTGGTCCCCCTTGATGCTGACAAGTGTTCCCTGGCACCAGCTCTAATTTACACCCTCCCGCTAGGCCTAATCTATGCTTACCAACTGCAACAGTCCCCTTCCAGTTCCCTTTCTCTTACCACTGCAGAGTGATGACTTTTTTTCCTATAGTTTAAGAAAACCAATGTTTAGAGTTAGAATTTTGTGTTGATAAAATAACTACCATCATCTGCCCCAAACTCCAGTAAATATAACATAAATTCCGAATGAAAATACGGAGACATGAAAGTTCTGTTGTTAGAGCTGAGAATAAGAATAAATTATTGTCCAGAACTTTTTGAATAGTATGTGTTTTTCTCGCAACAGCTTTATTGAAATATAGTTCATAGCACAGAACTCTTTAAAGGTGTGCAAATAGCTGGGTTTTAGTATATTACCAGAGTTTAGTATATCACCACAAGCTCATCTTGGAACATTTTCATCACCCCAAATGGAAACCCTGTGCCGGTTAGGTCACTCCCCTTCCCTCACTCCTTGCCCCTGACGTTTTTCAGATATGACTACTCTGGACAGTTCATATAAATGAGATCAGATCACATGTATTATGAGGTTTTAATAAGGAAAAATGAAAACAAATTTCTTCATTGACCAGACAGGCCATGTGTTGAAACTTCCGATGAATCAAGCAGAATGGTAAGTGTGGCAGGCAACGCTCTAGAAAGCAATAAATGTCCATTACCCCTGAGTACCAGCTCTGCCACACTTTGCATGGAGCCACTGTAGACATCCCCCTGACGACGCCCCTCTCTCGAAGTACTATCACCCCATAAAGCCTAAAAAGGCCCTTCTGGCTCTGAAACTCTATGAATTTTAAGGGAAAGAATGCTAAAAAAGGGTAGCAGCCAGTCTTATCTAACCTCATCTAGTAACACAAGCCTCAGACGGGTACACTTTCCATGGCGAAGCAAGCCAACAGCTGTGGCTTGCACCAAAACCTGCAAACATGTAGAGGCTGCCGCCTCAGGTGCTGTTAATGCCTCACCTTCTGACAGAATCTTGTGGTGGGGCCATCCTCTGCTGGCTCAGCGAATTCTGTCCAAGGCAGTTTCTCTCTTGTACAAAAAGCAAAGGGCATGGCTGCGAAGAGGAGAAGGTTAAGAATGCATCATGGGGCCTCCAGTGGCATCTGCAGCCCAGCAGCAGGTCACTCCTGGGACCCTTCTCCCAGGGACAGGGAGGCTTTTTTAGAAATAAGTCACTCACTTAATGATGCCACAAAAGTTTGAAAACGATTAACAGAAGGCGCCTGCCCAAGGATAAGTGCGGTATTCCCAAGATCTCTAGCTAGACCCTGCCAGGACTTTAGTTCAACAGGAAATTTCATTAAACTCTCTCTGTGTATATATGTTTTTTTGTATGTCTGTGGTACTGAGGCCAAACTCAGGTCTTTGGGCAAACTAACTACTACCACCAGGCTTTTAATTGGTCAATGCTGAGGCTTAAACCCAGAGCCTTACGCATGCTGGCAGGTGTTCTACCACTGAGTCACATTCCCAAACCTAAAGTCACTGACTTTTATTTGCTTCCTCCCAAACAGTGGGTACATACATACATAAGCAGAGTACAGAATGTCCACCATCCCCACACATACAGCGTTCACAACAACACTTTTCTGTGTGAGGGTCAAGAGGAGAAGACACTGGGGGTAGACTCTGGGACCTTCAGCTGTATGCAACATTGTTCTACATGGCCTGGCACATCTGAAATACTGTAATACATGCAGTTGTCTTTTTAATATCTCCCGCTGTCCTGTGCAAACTGGCATCTCACTGTGATTAAATAGATCTTCCCTGGCTTGTGGCTGTAGCTCGGTGGTAGGGAATCTAACTAGCACACTAAAGGCCTTGCTTAGGTTCAACCCCAGCACTGCAAACATTAAAGCCTCTTATCCCTTGTCATGTTGAGTCCCCTGCAGCAGACTCCCTGGGCATCTGGATTCATCCTCTCTGCTTTCTTGGTCACAATTCTTGCCCAGTTCCCACTGGGCTGCTTGGGTTTTTTCTTCTTGATTTGGAGTGCAGCATACCTTGACTGGGCACACTCAACACACTCTCTAGCTTCCTGTCTCACATGAACCCATCTCCATTTATTTTAAAAGAACTAGTCGAATGGATGTTTTCAGATTATCAGCTATAGTTCTGGCTCCAAACTGACCTACTTTCAAAAAGTGTTTGCAGGGCCCTTCATGGTATGACTAAGTGGTATTTAACTACCATCATCATGGAGACTGTGGTCTGCTGAGGAGTCAAGACAATAGCCAACATTCCCCAACCACAGTAGCTACCAGGTACGGTAAAGGGCAGTTCAACACTGATGCCTTGCAAAACAGGTGTGGCCCTCTCCTTTCACACAGGAGAAGCCATAACCTCCCATTCCTTCCAGGTTCAGGAAGCCTGGTCCTAAGACTATTCCAGAGTGAGCATACCACCAATGGCACTGCCAGCCACTTGGCCACCCAGCAGCCAGAGGTGTTGCCAGCAACAGTCCAGGGAGCCTTGGTTTCAGGCTCTAGACTCCCCAGAGCCCCTTCAGTAAAGATAAAAGAATTATTTTAAGGAAGCCAACAAGAGATGCTGATAACAAAAATGTTCCTTAATGACCATTAGTTCTCAGTCTCCAGAGCACTGGAAATAAAGTAACTCAAGAATCCCTAGAGAAAAGTCTCCCATGCTAATTTCACTTTAAGTTGCTAGAGATTCCAAATTTCTGCTTCCTTCTGAATGGCTCCTTTTCTCATTTATATAAATATTCCAACACAAATACACTTACCAAAGGAGGATGCAAAATGGAGGTTGGGGGAAGCCAGGAGCTACAAAATCCCAATTACTTTTTCAATTAGAGGGGAATGGGGTTTCACATTCTCAGACCTATCAGCGAGTCAGCCTCTTTCCTAAGGCATTTACCCTGTTCTTGGGAACTGTCAGCCTAGAGTAAAAGACATTTAATTATACCAGACAGGGTGGCATACACTCAAAATTCCAGAATTCAGAAGGTTAGACAGGATCATCTTGAGTTTGAGGTCAGCCTGGGCTACATAGAATAACGCTGTTTCTCTGTCTCTGTCTCTCTCTCTTAAAAAACAAACAAACAAACAAACAAAAACAAAGAGAAAGAGACTGTTTATGACTGTGGATGGCCATGCACCTGACAAGGCAGAGTGCCAGAACTGCCTTAGGGAGTCTCTGGGGTCTCACAAAGGAGGTGCCTGTGCTAGGCCTTGGATGAGCAGGAGTTCCAGATCCAACAAAGCAAACAGTTGGTCAAATCATCCAAAGATGTTTTGATGCCTGCTGTGCACTAGGGATTCTTGTAGATAAAATAGAAGTGGGTGATAGGGATCAAAAAGCAACCAATGCCAAGTGGGGTGGTACATGCCTGTGATCCCTGCACTCGGCAGAGGCAGGTGGATCTCTGTGAGTTGGCAGCCAGCCTGGTCTACATAGGGAGTTCCAGGTCAGCCAGTGCTGCATAGTGAGACCCTGCGGAAAAAAAAACAAATGCAGGCACTGGCCTCGTGGCGCTTACAGACCAACACAGGCTGGAGACAAAAGTCAAACAAGAGTGAAAGGACACATGAAAGAAACAGGAAAAAGAACATGACAGTCACCATGATCCTTGGTCTTTTTCTCCTCTTGGCAGGAGGATAAACTTATTTCTGGAAAATATGACCAGTCTGAAGGGAATGACCCAAAGATACAAACACTAGAATTACCAGGGGTTTCCTCTAAGCCAGATCATTCTAGAATGGCAATCAGAGGATAAGCCTCTCCCATACACTAGGAGTTCACTATTAGTTCATTAATCCTCATGCCTTAAAATATAAGCAGATAATATGACAACAGAAAAAAATATAGGACTTAAGTAAAGACCGTGCAAGGAAACAAAATGTTAGGACATAATAGCATCCGCAAAAGAGAAGACACTGCAAGCAGGATAAGAGACCAGGGCAGGATGGAACAAGGACTTTCAGAACAGAGGAACCTGGGCAACTTCAAATCTGACAGCAGAAATGAAAGAATTAAGTGTGGGGAGATGCTCAGCTGGTAAAGTACCTGCCATGCACATGTGAGCCTGCCGTGCAAACACAAGGACCTGAGCTTGGGTCCCCAGAACCCAGGTGAAAAGCCAGCTGTGGTAGTAACCCCATACTAGAGGGATGGAGGAAGAGATAAGCAGATCCCTGAAGAGCTTTGGCCAGCGAGACTAGCCAAACTGATGAGCTTCAGCTTCAGTGAGATACCCTGTATCAAAAAGTAAAGGTGGAAGAGTGACTGGGAAAGACACACAGCACCGACCTCTGGCCTACACATACATAAATAAACACATGCAGGAAGATGTACATATATATACCCACGCTAACAAGTACATACCCCCTCCGAGAGAGAGACAGAGAGACAGAGACAGAGAGAGACAGACAGAGACAGAGAGATGGGGTTTGGGGGAAGGGCTCAGTGACCAATCAGATGAAATCCATCAGAAAATTGAACAAGATGAAAAAGAAATGAAAAGTATAAGGAAAAGGGAGAAAAGAAGGAAACCAGTCCAGACAGAGACCCTAATGGAATACCAGGGAGCAGGGAAAGGGAAAAATAAGAAACGTTGAGTGAGAATAAGAGGACACTGTTTAGTAGGCTCCTGCAGTAGGCCCCAACAGACCAGGCTAAATGTCAAAATGCCATCACTCATACTAAATGTCACATCATCAAATAGCAGCTAAGCTGTAAAGCCACTTCACTCTGTGAAGAGAGGACAGCCAAGTCTCCCCAAAGGCCAGTTTCAATCAGCAAGATAATGTCATTCCCTCCACTTTCATCCTCACCAAAAAAGCAATCGGAAGTAACCTAATGTTAGCCAGGTTTGCTTTTCTGTTGTTCTGCTGTCCGTCCCCCAATTTAACAAGGAAAACAACGCACAGCCAGTCTGTGCTCCCTTCTTTGTTTCTACTTTTTCCAGACCTTCTTTGTGAACACATACTTTTTTAATGGAATGAAATGTAGCCTGATTCTAGAATCATAAAATGAAGACTAAGAACTCTGAAATTGTAAGAACAGACATAAAGATCCAAGTTTCTTAAAGAATCCACTAAGCACTAAGAATAATGGTTCAAGAAAGGAGCATAACAGAACCATCATGAAGCTGTAGAGCTACTAGCAGAAAGAGAAGATCCCACAACCTTCTAGAAAACAAACACATAGACAATGGATCGGAAATCTAAATGGCTTTCCAGTGAAAAGCACCCAAAGCTGGGGGATAATAGAGCAAGGTGTTCAAATTTCTGAAGGAAAAGAATTTCTAACCTAGAATTTGACATTTATCCAAACCATCAACCAAGATTTAGAGACACAAATTTTCAGACACACAGGGTATCACAAAAGGCTTACCTCAAATGTGTTCCTCCTCAGGGAACCACTCTGCCAAACGGAAGTAAATCAAGGAAGAGGAAGGGAAAGGGACACACTGTGAAGGAAGATCCCAGGACTAAAGCTATGTGGCCAGCAGACGGACTGACTCATTCGAAAGACTGGCAAATTCTTTCAAGCAGATGGAATTGATTGATGCATCTCAACAGGTTAGGGGGATTAGAAATGGACAGACAGATAGGGTTGAACTTGTATGTAGAATACAAAGACAGCTGCAGGGAAACAAAATTATTCAGGAAAAATTACAGAAAAATGGCTTTGCAGAGACTGAATGAAGACAGAACAGGGAGGATCCACGTGTAGAGGACACTGACGCTTTCTGCCGTGGAAGGTGAGTGAACGGATGGTGCGAAACTGAAAAATTAGAGGTCTAGCAAGATGCCTTGGTAACTTGGTGAATAAAAGTACTTGCCATTAGGTCTGATGATCCGAGTTAGAGCCCTAGGTCCCACAAGGCAGAAGGAGAGAACCGAAGTTATCCTCTAAACTTCACAAGTGCACCATGGCGCAGGCACGAACACACACACAAAATAAATGAATGAATAAATAAAAAAATTAGTGTACAAAACCCTACAAAATTAGGAAGTGGCTACAGAAAATTCCAAGAGAACCAGGTAAATGTTGAAAGCATTGTCCCTGGGGTAAACACTTTCTTTTTGGTAACATTATAGACTCATTTTCTTTCTAAACCATGAGAATGTATAACCCTGACAATGACAACATAACAAGTAACATGAAGAAAAGGTACGTGGTATCAAAAATTTATGTAACAGACAGCTCAATTTTAGATAAGGAGACTAGACTGGCAAGGTGGGATCAGAAGGTGAAACAGGTGGGGTGGGATCAGAGAAGACGTGCAAATCAGCTGGACGTACTTAACAAAACCAAGGAGAAGGGCACGGCAGAAGTGCAGCAGTAGTATGTGCTTAGCATGTACAAGGGTGTGGCTGCAGCTCAGCAGTAAAGCGTGTGCTTAGCATGTACAAGGCCCTGGATTTGATTCACCAGCATTGAAAAAAAAAAAGGCTGAGAGCACAAGCCCAGCTTCTGGTGACATCACTTGGACCACAGTGGTAGAGAGGGGTGGGTGAGTGACCAGGAGACAGACGTTCCTGGGTTTCTAGTGTTGTTAGACTGTCTAGGCCAGTCATCGTGGCACATGCTTCTACACTCAGCACTCGGCAGGCAGCGGCAGGAGGACCTGCTGCAAGTGCCAGGCCAGCCATGGCTACTCAGCCAGAGTCAGTCTCGAAATATTTCTACAGAAGCAAAAAGAAAGTCGATTTTCTTAATATTAGGCAGCAGACACTTGGCAATGGGGTTAAGACACACTTGTTTAAAGGTGGCTGAGAAGCACAAGAAAGACTTACTCCATGCTTCCTGGAAACAAATGATATTGACTCCACACATTGCAGCGACCTCAACAATAGCCTCTATGCGTCTGTGGAGGGCAGAGACCTGGCAGTTTAAAGAGCAAGGATTAGAATCCATTCAGTACTACCATTGAGACAATTTTAAAGAACGTGCCCCAATGCAAATGGTGCAGCAAACCCCCACCTGACCAGGGGATAAGAGGGGTGGGGGTATAGTATTTATTTTTCTCATCAGACTAAAACGGGCAAGATAGATGGAGGAACAGTGACTCAGACCCAACCCTCCATACATCCTGCACATCCCCATTCATCCCCCACCCCTGCGTGACGGAGAAACCAACACCTTTCTCATGGAGCTGCTGAGCAATGTAAATTGAGAATAGTTGTACTTCCTGTATGCAGGATGCAGGGCAGGGTTGTCCACACATAGGTATACACATACACACTCGCAGTGGCTAGTTGATCTCTTAACCAACAGCATTCTACTCTGTACCACCCTGTACAATCTTATGAGCTTGTCTTTCTTTGCCACATTCATTTTCCCATGTAATCTGCCTTTATGGATGCTTTAAATCTTAATATACTAGGGGGCTGGAGAGGTGGCTCATTAGTTAAGAGCACTTGCTGTTCTTGTATAGGACCTGGGTTCAGTTTCCAGCATCCACACGGTGGCTCACCACCACTTCTAACTCGAGTTCCAGGGGATACAACCACCTCTGGTCTCCACCAGCACCTGCATGCATGTGTACACATACATGCACTCAGGTGCACACACATACATAAAATGTTTTTTTTTAAAATCAGTCTTTAAATCTCAGTGTACTGGAATGTGCCCTTGGCCAGGAGTGTGCTTCCCTCCCTTCCCCACACTCCCAGGTGTCCTCCCTGTCCCACACCAGCCGTCGGTAAATCTCAGCTGCTTGCAGTTTCCCCTACACCAGCCAGCGCTGTTTCCACTGCAGTGCTCTGGTTCCTTCACTGTTTATCATCCAGAGGACTCTGCAGGTGTCTTTGGAGGTAGGAGGAAAGCGTCCCTGGCATTTCTGTCCTCACAAGTCTCTGGCTCCCAGGAAACATTCAAAAGTGTTTGTTCAAAGAAAGAGTGGGGGTAGCTAGGCTGAAAACGCAGAGAACACAATCCTTTTCCTATGCTCTCAGTCTCTTCCGGAGAGGCTGTGAGCTCCAGGGGTCCACACATATTTGCTGATGGTGTCAGCTAGGTGAATCTATATTTACTCAGTGCTAGCAACTTTTAGGTACACTGGGGGTGAGAATGTCCCTGGCCCTACAACTTAACAACCAGGGAGAACAGATTCATTGTTCACAAACAACAAACCCAGAGGAAAAGTGAACTGAGAATTAAATGTGTGTGAGGGGGGCGGTGCTGGGGATCAAACCAAGAGCCTCACAAATGGCAAGTAAATGCTTTACCACTGAACGATGCTCTCAGTCTCAGTCATCTTTTAATAGAACTGGGAATGTGGCTCAGTGCAAGAGTGTGCCTAGAATTTCGAGTTCCTGAGTTCTTTCCCATGACCTCCCCCCAGTATATATGGGTGGAATCCCTTCACCCCTCCTCCATATATATGGACGAGGACCAGTCTAGCCTGGAATCCAAGGGTCCTTAGGTTTCTGCAGAATGCTTAGGAATGATAAGTATGCTATATATCCTGAGGTGACCTCACAGAGAAAGCCATTAAAACTCGAGCAGTGGGAAGAATGCCGTGAAAAACTGTTTGTAGCACGTCACCTGCATCTGTGACAACATGATGCTTTAGAGAAATGTAAAATACCGTATTTGTTTACCATGTTCTTACAACCTGTGGGACTATTAGCAAACAGACTTCTGGGCATAATAAGCCCCTGGCCTTATGCTAACACAGGTATGGTCCTGGCTAGTGTATGCTGGCAGATGGCCCTCTGCTGGGCAGCTGAGAGGTGGCATCCTGTGGCAAGGGCTTGAGCTGTCAAAGGGCCATTTCCTGGTTGGTAAATGAAATTTCAGATCAGGAGTGGTCGAGGAAGCAAAAGGAGGGTGGAATGCAATGAGGAGTAAGAAGACGGAGGAGGAAAAAGGGTAAGAACCAGAAGAGACTGGAAGTGGGGGGGTGGGCAGGAGAGGCAGCTCAGCTACCCTTCAAGGTGTCTTGGGCTACAGACCCTTGGGGCAGCCAGCGACCACACTGTGAAAAGAAAAGGCAAGCAGAGCTCCGTGTGTGCATGGTTAAGAGACTGCACCTGATCTGCCACAGGAGCAGATGTGGGGAGCTGGATTCTGTTTTGAACCAGCCCCACACGCACAATTTGGGGGCATCTCCGCTGCTCCTTGGCGGCCTCAAAGGCATACCCCTGCAGTTCAAAGTCTCTTTCTGAGGCAGCTTCTAAAGCTTTTCTGGGCAGGTCAAGTGTCCTGAATGGGTGGGAAAGAAGAAGAAAAAGGATTTTGAAGACATCTGCTACATTTAAAAATCCCCCTCCAGGGCCGGAAAGGAAACTCTGAAGTGTAGGCTTAGCATGTGAAGTCCTCGTCAGACCCAACACTGGGGAAAAAAAATCCCCAATCCCCTCCACCTTTAGTTTATCACACAAAGAGGAGCTGGAGGTCTCCTCACTGGAAAGCCTCCAGTACAGGGCCAAGAGACTTGGAGATCAGGTGGGCTGGGCCATGGATGGATATACACTCTCTCATCAAGGAGACCAGCAGGGAGGCAGAGCTAGTCCTGGCAAAGTAGTAGTATGATCAATAACCAAATTGGCGTTTGGAGTTACTGAGATCAGGGCAGGGATTAAAGTCCCTGTAGCCAACACACCAAGAGGGAAACAGGACCAGACAATGTTTCTGAACCAGCATCAGAGGTCCGTGCAGAGCCTAAGGGCTGGGCTGGCTGTGACACCAGAGTGGGGCTGTGGAGAATGAGACTCCCCAACACGGAGACCAAGAACCCACACCAGCAGGGGGGCCCTGCACCCATTCATGCCTCAGGAAGCTGAGTTTCTAGTGGTCATTCCAGAGCCCTGTCCTCTGATACTCCTTCAGTTAGTTCCAAGCCTGGTATTGGGGGTGGGTGTGATGGGGTGCAGGTGTTCAGTCTGAAAATGCAAATGTTGATCCAAATTTGTGGTTGATCACTAACTGCTAGAGGATTATTTACCTTCTACCATAGTGACCATTGGTCAGGCAGTAAACACCTCCAGATTTCTATTGCATGCCCCAGGCTGGGGTGAAACCCCAGGGGCAGAGTCCATGGCCCAGGGCCAGAGAGTACTTACCATCTAAGGGCAAGACGATTATGAAATCCTGAGAACCCATCAAAAAATAACCTGACAGTCGTTGCCTAATAATATTTCTCTCCTACTTTAAATCACTTTCTTAAAGACATTTCTTTCAAAATCACAGCCCTGTCAGCACAAGCCCCCCGACTCCGCCCTCTGCCAGGAGCTTTCCATGACAGCTCTGAGTTGGGTTCCACCCCTGACAATCAGCCTGCTTTTCAAATAGTCAACCCTTTCCTCTGGCAGGTTAGAAATAGCTACAGTGCCCACACCTTGCCCCACCCCCCTCACTGTGACTGCCTCAGAAAGTCCTCCCACCTTTGGGTGGAAGGACCCCTCTTGTGGGTCTTAGTCCCCAGCAAATCTTCCTTGGTGAAAATAGTCACACAGCTTACCAGGAGCTACAAAACAAAGACTTATAGACATGTTCCATGGAGGAAAAAGAGAAAGTCTCTGTGTATTGGTTTCCCAAAGGCTATGGCCCCTTTATCCCACAGTCTCCCCTTCCTTTCTGAATTCTATCTATCTCTATAGCTGCCTGCACATCCATGTGTTATGAGTCTGTGCACTTGCTCATTCTCAACTCCCTGTAAACACTCATTCTCCTAGACCCGAGGGAATACAGGCCAGGCTGCCCCACCTTCCAGGTCGGCTGCCTTTGGGTTTGTGGTTCTACTTTTTCTTGATGATCCCCATCACCTGTAATATCTCACTGCCATTCTGCTGTTCAAAACTGTTCATCATCATGTCCCACTGTGCTTGTGTTCAACAGTTCTAAATCTACATTTGAGGCAAACCAAGTGCAGAGAGAAAAAGGTTTGGTTTAGGGGCTTCTGTGGGACATAGACTATGGCCCTTGGGTATGACTGGGCAATGAGGGGAGATCACCCACAGATGGGATTAGCACCCTTATAAGAGTCCCAAAGGATGTTGCTTGCCCCTTGACCACACATAGATGAAACAAGGCAGCACCATTTAAGAATCCAGAAACAGGCCCTCACCAGACTCTAAACTTACCAGTCTTCCTACTCTCCACATTCCTGTGATTGAAAAGCCAAAATAACTATGATAGGCATTGATCGACTATAGCTCAGCAAATGAGTCACACATTTACTCAGGAGTCTTGTGCTGTCTGCAGCCTTTTCTTTGTCTCTGTAGTTGATTTTCAGCTCTCCCACCTCTCTAGCTACTAAGAATTTCAACTCTTCTTTCCTCACCTCCAACTTCAAGGAGGAAGACATGTTAATTTTTGTCCTGGCTGCAACACACTCCTGGGTTTCCCTTTTCAATCCTTCCCAGTACTAAAGTAGACCTGGCCTAAGAGCCCTAGGCTTCTGCCTCCTCAGCAACCTCCCACTTTGGGAACTTCATCTCTCCTGCTCTCATGACTCTTTGCCATTAGCACTTTAAATTATTAAAGTAGACCTTTGTTACAAAGGAACATGCTCATGGAGGGGGGAAAAAATCACAGTAGAAAGGGAATAAAATGAAAATTAAGCCTTACCTAAGCTCTAGCCCCAAACCTCAAAGATAACCCTTGTGATATTTTGTGCATCCTGCCAAAGTTTTTCCACAAAGGTACAGATAACCACCCCTAGCTGTCGTGGTATCATAGTGCACTGTATTCCATGTTTGTAGTGCTCCTGATGTAAACAGGCCTATGGTGCAGCTAGACATATAAAAGACTAGCACACATAGTATGTACAGCACAGAATACCTGATCATGGTAACCAGCAGCAGTTGTTAGTAGCTTCTGTATTTGCTATACTTTCAAGTTAGTGTACCTTCTACCTACAATATATGGTTAAGGCAAAGCAGTATGTGGACTTTTCTTCAAGATTGCTGACAGTTGTTGATGGGTAGAATCTGCTGAAAACATTAGGAGCCATGGGAAACCCTTGGTCACAACTGTTGGACAAATGGAAACCACTGGAGAAACAAAATCACTATTTGTCAGAAATAGTCAAAACTGAAGGTCTTATTTGGTGAAAATGGTGAGATGCAACACTGTTGAGGCCTGAAAATTCTGCTGCTTAATCACTTTAATTGGAAAAACAAACCACTGATTTAATCAATACCCTCCAGCTGAGTGGGAGCTGATCAAGCTCCTGATACAAGGTCACTGCTGGCCTTGGGTCATGGAACAATCTGGCTAGAGTACAGGAGACCTGAAGCAGAAGGCCAACATAAGCAAGGAGGTGAAAGGAGATTTAACCAGGGGTTGCTACCTGTTAGAGTTCGCATTTCAGTCTAACAGCCTACCCCTTACAGAGGTTTAAGCAAACAGGCAAGGATATAGGTTACATTTTAAAGAGATCCTCTCCTTGCTGTGGAAGAACAGGCTGAGAAGAAAGTGGAAGAGGAAGAAAGTATCATCTCCAGCTTGGTATACGAGATTCCCAGAGTGCACTGCCCTTCGAAAAACCTGGTGATGCTCGTCCAGTTTGCTGAGTGGAAAAACTTTTGCAACTAATTCTGACTTGACAGTGGGAAAGTTTCCTTTGCTGATTAGACTCAATAGGCCTCTACCTCCAAGTCGTTAGGTCGGCGGGAAGGAGGAACTAGGTGGCCTTGGTGGGAGGCATTGGCCAGACACCCAGGGAGCAGGCCTGGATCTGGGGACGAGGCTGGTAACTTACAAAGGGTGGCCACAGAGCTAGCTTGGAGAGAAAAACAGTTTTCTTTCCTATCTTGTTCCAGGCAAGGGAGAGGGGCGCACAATTTGTAAAGGGTCACCCCCTAAAGGCTGCCTCACAGCTAGCTCTGTGGTCCCTGCCTGCATAGAGGATTTCCTCCCTCCCCCCTCAGAGATATTCACCCCTCTCCAACACCTCCCCTTCCTCCCCAGCCCACACATGGGGGCTCCAAATTCCCAACATTCAACCTCTGGGTCTCTGACCTCGTCTCCCGGCCGTAAAGAATGCGCTTCACCTCGCACAGGTCTGGAAGCGGCAGGTGCTTTTCCAGGCACCGCTCCAGCGACACCCACTCGGGTCCCGCCATGGCTGGAGCCTGCTGGTTCTCCCACTCCCACCGCCTGCCCTTTGCCCCCGGACCGCGAGGAGAGGACCTGGCAGCGCTGCTCTCTGTTTGGGTTCCTGCGGGCTCACGTGCAGACACGCCCCCTCCTCGCGCCTCTACCGATAGCAACCAATCAGCGCTCAGGACCCTCGCAGGCGGAGCCGCCCCTTTCGCGCTGCACCCACATCCGGTGGTGCACGCTCCAGGGCAGAGTTTTCAGCGCCTTCCCAGCACGCCACTGCAGGGCTGTAGAGGAAGGTATGGGATCCATTTCCGGGTTCCGTGGGTGGTGGTGGGGGAAGCCTCTCTTCCGGTTCCCTGTAACCACAGGATGCCACACACTCAGGAGATACAGAAGGGTTCTTTTACACACCCTAATGGAAATTACAGGTGCAGGACCAGATTTCCTCCAGGCAGATGCTGAGGGAACTAGTCTTCCTATACCCAGATTTAGCTCTGTGGCCAGGGCAAGTTATCCAGTCACATGGGGTATCTGTTGCTCCGTCTGTGAAATTGGAATGCAGATGCTACCTAGCAGTCCTGCTTAAGAGTAAGGGCTGGGAAGCTCAGTTCTGTGGTGGAGCACGTGCCTGCCATGCCACAGGCCCTGCAGTGAGAGGGCGGGCCTTAGGTATTTACGTTTTTGTCATTGTTTTGATGTTAGGCGACAGTTTCCTTTTCCAGAAACAGGATTTTCTGTGTGTGCGGCTTTACAAGGAGCAATACAAAGCAAGATGAGAGACACTGTGCTAGTTTGCTTCTTACTGCTGTGCTATACACCATGACCAAAAAGCAACTTGGAGAGGAAAGGGTTTATTTCAGCGTACACCTCCCAGATCACAATCCATCCCTTTGGGACATCAGGGCAGGAACCTAGAGACGTGAGCTGAAGCAGAGATCATGGAGGAAGGCTGCTTACTTGCCTATACCTCCTGGCCCACTCAGCTACTTTTCTAATACCGCCCAGGCCCACCTGCCCAGAGATGGTACCACCCACATGGGCTGGACCCTCCCACATCGCTCAACAATCAAGAAAATGCCTCAGGTCAATCCAATAGAGAAGATCCCCCAGTAGAGGTTTCCTCTTCCCAGGGGTTTCAGGTTGGCAATGAAAGCCAACCAGGACAGGTAGCTTTTCTCTATGACTTGCTATGACTCTCTAAAAACATAAATACAAGCTGGGTGTGGGGATGCACGCCTTTAATACCAGTGCTGAGAGGCAGAGGCAGATGAATCTCTGAGATCAAGGCCAGCCTGGTCTACATGGCAAGTTCCAGGTGAGCTAAAGTTCAGTCCCAGGCATATATATATATATTCAACCAACTTTGAACAAAAGTATTTTGCCAGGGCTGGAGGCCTGGGTCTTGTAAAGGACTTGTGTTCAATTTCCAGCACCTACTGATGGCTAACAACCATCTGTAACTCCAGTTCTAGGGAATCTGATACACTTTCTGGCCTCCATAGGCATTGCACACACATAATGCACTTACATACATGCAGGCAAAACACTCATACACATAAAAAATAAAAATAAATTTTTTAAGGTTTAAAAAGTATTTTCCTCCCAAGTTGTGCCAGAATTTTCAGAAAACAGAATTTCCCCCATACTGTTCCCTAAATAACACAGCGTAACAATTACTTGTATAACATTTACATTGGGTTAGGTATCATAATTAATCTAGAGATGATTTTAAGCAGATGGCTATAGCTTATTGGAAATACATGCTATGTTAAATAAGGGACTCAAGATTCCATGATTTGGGGGTTCAGTCTTCTAAAGATGGAAGGTCAACCTTCCATAGTAGGTCAACCTACTATGGTTGTGAACACAGTGGATTAAATAGTGTGATATTGAAATATGCACAATATGCCACAGAGCCCAAATCAAGACAGAATGGAAAAGCTTTGTTTTTCTGTCTTTGAGGAGAAGCAGGGAGAGCACGCTGAGGCCACAACTGCGCCTGGTCTTTTAGCCTTGCTGCTCACATTGCACCTCTCCAGTAACCTTTTCAAACTGTTTTTGGAAATTCTGGGTTTAGCATTCCCCTGTTTTATGTTTCTGGTTTCCCCTAGTACCTCTCTCTGAGTTCTGATTTTTCTTGTAACCCCTTTCCTCCTCTGCACTGGTCCACTTTCTTGTCTGTGGCATCTACTATCTGGTGTTACATTACAGCTGCCTTAATTTAAAACAGCCTGACTCAACATCCACTATAAAGCTAAAAATGGACCTAAACTACCAAGAACCCTTTCCTTAACTGTCTTGAAACTGTGTGCACAAACAAGAGCCCACTCTTTGCTTTATTGAAGCATTATATCAATCATAAATGGGGGAAGTAAAAGAACTGTCTTATCAGATAAGAGTAAAGACAAAAACCATAGCTGCCTTAGGAAAGGGAATGCATCTGGGAGGCTTGTGTTCTGTCAGGAAAAACTGAAGGAGAGGAGGGACTAGCAGAGACGTCAAAAGAGGCCTTCCCAGGTGACATATGCATAGAAACTACTCTGTACCTTACTGGATTTGGGGGGGGGCAAGAATTGCCAATAGCTTATCAGCTACGGGTGGAGCCTTGTGCCCACATTCCCCCTCCATGCTGGGATTTTGTCTGGCTTGAGCTTGTACAGGTTTTATGCATGCTATCACAAGCATTGTGAGTTCATATGTGCACCTGCCGTGTTTGGAAAACAGTTTCCTTGGAGTCATCCATGGACTGTGGCTCTTGCAATCTTTCTGCCTCTCTTCCACTGTGATCTCTGAGCCTTGGAGGGAGGGATGTGATATAGATGTCCCATTTAGAGCTGAGCACTCCACAGTCTCTTGTTCTCTTTAGAAAAAGAGAAAGATGATAGATGTTAGATAGATAGATAGTTAGATAGATAGATAGATAGATAGATAGATAGATCTTTTTGAGACAGGGTCTCCAGTCTCCCTGTAGCCAGCTTGGTGAACTCACTAAGACCAGACTGGCTTCCATCTTATAGTGCCTGCCTCTGCCTCTGCCTCCGAGTGCTGGGATTAAAGGCATGCACCACCATGGCTGGCTTGATTAGATTATTCCAAGATATTTTACTTTTTTTGAGGCATCATGAGTGGGATTATGTCCCTGATTTCTTTCTCTATGTTTTGTTGGTGGTATATAGGATGGCTGCTGATTTTTGTGTGTTGATTTTTTATCCTACTACTTTGCAGAATGTGTTTATCAGCTCTAGGAGTTTTCTGGTGGAGTCTTTAGATTTATGTATAGAATCACATCTTCTACATATAAGGATCATTGGATTCTCCCTTTCCTATGTGCATCCCCTTTATCTCCTTCACTTTTCTTATGACTCTTAAGTAAAACTTCAAGCATGATATTGAACAGGCATGGAGAGATGGACATCCATGTTATGTTCCTGATTTTAATGGAAATGCTTCAAGTTTTTTCCATTTTAAATGTTGTTGGCTGTGGACTTGTTGTATATTGCCTTTATTATGTTGATATATGCCCCCTGTATCCATGGTTTTTAATCATGAAGGGGATATTGGATTTTGTTGAATGCCTTTTCTGCATGTAATAAGATGATCATGTGACTTGTGTCCTTAAATCTATGTATGTGGTGGATTACATTTTCAGATTTGCATATTTTGAACCATCCTTGCATCTCTGGGATGAAGTCAACTTGGTCATGACAGGTGATCTTTTTGATGAATTCAGTTCAAGTATTTTATTGAGAATTTTTGTGTGTATGTTTATCAGAGAAAATGGCCTATAATTTTCTTTTATTGTTGGTCTTTGCCTAGTTTTGGCATCAGGATAATACTGGCTTCTTGAAAAGAATTTGGAAATGTTCCTTCCTTTGCTAGTTTATAGAATAATTTGGGGAGTATTAGACTTAGTTCTTCTTTGGAGCTCTGGTGGAATTTTGCCATGCACCTATCTAGACTTGGACTGCTTTTACTTGGGAAATTTTTTAATTGCTGCTTCTCTCTCACTGGTTGTTGTGGGTCTTTTTATTTATGGCATCAAGCTTCCTGCCGCTGATCATGATTGCAATCTCATGCACCTACCTTTGGCTATGAAACTACTGAAACAATTACAAGAAATACAATTCGCCTAGGAATCTCACTCTCACCTTTTCATTCATTCCAGGGACCAGTCCGTGAAATGATGCCACCCACAGTCAGGGTGTGTCTTCTCCCTCAACCCAATCAAGAATATCCCTCCTGGGCATGCCTACAGGCCAACCTAATCTAGATAACTCCTCATTGAGGTTCTGTTCCTAGGTGATTCTAGATTATGTCAAGTTGACAGAACCAAACATCTCATGCAGCTTATGCATTCCAGTGGACACTGTCCTTGTATAGACTTTCCTCATTTCCTAGACTTCTCTGCTAGCTTAACCAGTCTTGCTCTACACTTCAGTTTGCCCTTGACTTTGGTTCCAGGGTGATCCATTACTTTAGGATTACCCAAGAGTCAGCCTCTTCATACCATATACCACAGACAAGTCACAATGTTTTTCAACTTTAATTTCTCTGAAAAAAAAAATAAGGATAATGATACCTATCCCATTTTCTTTGATTTGAAAGAATCAAATACACTAAGTTGGAATGTCTTTAATAATCTATGCAGTGTAATCTCTATGTCATTTTTAATTAATGAAAAGGAATCTGGATGGAATTCCTCCATGGATACTTGTAAACATACCATCTTTAATATACTAGATGCTTATGTTTATTTTTCCAGTAATGATAATGGCTTTACATTGGATCATTTATAGTCTTCATATCAATTCTTCTGGTGATAAAATACTAATTACAAAGATAAATAATTCTGAGGAAGCCTACAGTCTGAGCCATGAAATAAAGCAAAATTGACTAGATCAAGCTCAAATCTAATCTATAACTAACTCAGCATAAATTTGTCTATAATTTAATTTGTCTTAGAAAACTAAGAATAGATTTTGTATCACCATAAATTTAATTTAATAGATTTTGTATCACCATAATTTTTGAGACAGGGTCTAACCTTACAGCTCTCATTGGCCTGGAACTTACTATGTAGACCAGGCTGGCCTCGAACTCACAGAGCT